AGTGTGTGTGTGTGTGTGTGTGTGGGCAATCAAACTAAAAGAGATCAGAGCAGGACGAGATTATATAAGGTTATATGAGGGGAAGAGGTTGTGAGAATGAGTGGAAATAAGAAAGAAACCGAGAGGAGGGTGTTGAAGATCAAATGAGAATCCTCACATGAACAACAGACAGTTTCTCCACTTCCTGTCACTGAGTCAGTGTGTGTGTGTGTGTGTGTGTGTTCCTTTTTTAGTGGCACTTGCTAACAGTCAAGCATCTCTATTATTGCTCATGGCGTGATGAGCGTTGATGCCATTTATGATTGCTGCTGAGCGTCTCGCCTGGACTGTTTCACACTAAAAGTTTATCAATACAATTTAACCACGCAAATGTGTTGATAACTCTGCTGTAGAGAGGAATTTTGACATTTTAAAAGTGGTTTCTTGTTAAATAAAACCCTTAACACTAATTACCCTGCAGCAAAAAAAAGAGAGAAGAAATTAAAAAAAATAATGACTTACTCCTATATTTTTCCAGTAATAATATCTAAAAGAAACATTAACTTGAGTAGGACAATGGCATTAGATGTTAAGTCCTATTTTCTGAAAAAAAAAAAAAGTATCAAAATGAAGTGAGTTTATGCTTAAAACAAGAAAAATATCTGCCAGTGGAGTCAGAAAAATAATCTTGTTTTCCCTTTGCATTTAATTGATTTGGTCTAAACGCATTGGCAAATATTTGTTCTTGTTTTAAGCATAAACTCACTTCATTTTGATCAATTTTTCAAAAAGCAAGACTTAATGTCTTAAGTCATTGTCCTACTTAAGAAAATGTTTCTTGATTTAAGAATCTTTAGACATGTGTAATGGAAAACAAGGAAGGAAATCATTTTTTGCAGTATATTAAAGGTGCAGTAAGCAATTTCTGAGAAACGCTGTTGAAAGTGGATCGGACCGAGCGCCAAAACACACTTGTAGCCAATCACCAGTAAGGGGCGTGTCCAGTAGTGATGGGGGAGGTGCCTGTGTTGAATAGCATGTTCAGAAACTTGGGGGTGGAGGCAAGATAGGGGTGTGATTCTTTTGGTGATTTCAAATATCAACAGCATTTCTCAGAAATCGCTTACTGCACCTTTAAACTCTGATTGATTGATTGATTCTTGAAATCATGTCTTGTTGCCGTTACTTCAACAAGTTCTACATGCATATGTTTCTCGGGAAATTAAAAGTGTGGCTCTTGTTTGTTACTGACAACCCTTTCAAACCTCGTCTGTACAGACTTGATAAATCTGGATCTGTATGTGTCATTTCAGGTTTCTTTGCAGAATGGCTATTTTCTTCCCTGTTTGACTGTCAAATGAGTTTCCTCTTAACACACAAGGCTTCTCAGCCACGCACACACACTCCACCCAGAAACAAACCCGACATCAACAGCAGAGACTCTTCATTCTGACGTTAGACTGCAGACTTTTCCTCAGTTAGTAGGGCTGTGAGGCACAGAAGACAGAAAGGGGATTATAAACCATACACCATTCAGAACAGACTCAGCGTGAGCTCTGAGGTTATTAAGCGTTGTCATATGCTTCCGTCAAAGAGATTTCAACGACAGTGTTTAATATTGCTGAAGGACTACACTACCCATAATCCCACGGGGAGCAACCAAACATCAATCACAGAAGATTGATCTTCAAATGAGCTTCCATACACATACAAGTCTACTTACATATATGGACATATCAATAATTTGCAATAAATGTCAAATATATTGTTTTTACTGATAATTATTGACTGCAAGTTGACAGTTTTTTGTACTGTTGTTTTTTATTTGAAGTCATCTGTAGTTCTTCATCTACTTATATATGAGGATATATCAATAATTTGCAATAAATGTCAAATATTCTGTTTTTACTCATAATCAGCGACTAAGTCAGTAGGTTTATTTTGTGCACGCTTTAAAAATACAATGCCATAGAAGAACCTTTTTTGTCTAAATGGTTCCATAAAGGACCTTTAACATCTGAAGAACCTTTCTGTTTCACAAAAGCTTCTTTGTGGCAAAAGAAGGTTCTTCAGATTATACAAAGGTAAGAAAGAGATGGTTCTTTGACTGAATGGTTCTTTGTGGAACCAAAAATGGTTCTTCAATGGTATCTCTGTGAAGCACCTTTTAAGCACCTTTATTTTTAAGCGTGTAGCCTACTGTTGTTTTTGATTGCTCCAGAACTTTCTATGGACTTTAGTCAGGGTAGCATCATATTTAACTTCTGACAGGAATCAAAAAGGTTAAAGTAAAGTGCATTCAATCATTGTACTGTTGTTTTGTGAGTTGTGAAAGTTTCCTCGTTTTCATCTGTGTTTCATCTAAAGTCTATAGAACTGTTTATCAAAAGCTCTGGGCGTTTTTAGTATTATTTTAATGGTTTAGCTAAAATCACACTCTATCGCTGGTCAATCGACTGAGTCTGGATAAACTCACAGATAACAATCCGCTGTGTGCGCCGGCCTCGAGTGCATCACACACACCCAGAGAAAAGAATCCTGTGCGTGCGCGTGTGTGTGTGTGTGTGTGTGTGTGTGTGTGTATTTGCCTGCCTCGCAGGCATACATTCTCTTTTCACTACATTAGTCAGCGTGTGTCTGCATGTTATGATGGAAACGTCTCTCACTCTGGTCTAACCAGTGAGAACATGAGCATGAATTCCACAGCTCCACAACATTTGACGTCTAAACTCTGCAGTGTTTGCAAGGCTTAAATCTGCTGCTTTGAGCGATTTTTAGTCATATTGTTCTTCGGTTTTTTAAAAAGTAAAAGGGGCTCCTAGCTAACAAGGAACATTCTCAGAATGTTACGAAGTTACGAACAAACGTTCTTTCAGTAACATTAATAGAATGTTCGGTTAAAGTGATACGGTCTTTACGAACGTTCTCAAAACATTAGCACAAAAACAATATTTATACACTGTTCATGCATTATTTTATTTCTGAAACAGTTGCACATTCATTTAACGTTTTTAAATGTAGGGAACATTCAAATGTAACGTTCCCGTAATGTTTGTAAAATGATAAAATGGAATGTTCATGTAACATTCAAGTAAAAACAAGAATTGTTTAAACATTAATTCGTAATAAACATATTTTCGTTAGTTGGGTTCTTTTGGGGTTTTCCAAAGAACCTTCCAGTGAACAGGTCTTAAAATAACTTTTTTTTTTTCTTAGTCAAGAACATTTTAATAACCATGGTGAAGGTTTGTAGTGAAGACATTTTTGGTTCTTCGTGGAACCATGGATTCCAATAAAGAACCTTTACTCTTAGAGAGACACCACTGCAATACATTCATGAAAATGTCACAGTGCAATAATCATTCTTTCTTCTAGAAGTGCTGTTTTAGTTTTCTTCTGAATCCAAGGTAAAGTTTGACTCGTTCTTGACAGGCCAAATTCACTCTGCTGATGGCCCCGCCCCGTTCTCTCACATGGCACAATCTAATTGGTCGGTCATTTCTCGCCGGGTCTGCTCGGATTGGACAGTGAGATGTTCTCCACAGCATCTTCTCACAGTCAGACAGGCCTACAGTAGTGAAAGGAAGTTCAGTTGATCTCATTCAGGTCGGTTGTCTCTGTAACTCTTCCTGTCATATCATGCAGCTTGCAGATTCACAAACAGGATGCTGTGGTCACGTTCTGCTGTATTCTGTCTCCTCCGAAAGGCTCTGTGAAAGGCCAAACTCTAGCCTGACTCACGACAAACTCCACATCAGCTCAGACTTTAAACTTTAACTCAGATTGAACTCAAAGTAAAATTAAAATGGTCTCGGACTGACTGGGAAGTCAAGACATGAAGACAGCTTTATTCCATGCAAAAATAGCTCTTAGCGGCCATGTCTGCATAAAAGTAGTCCATATGACTTCCGCACAATAGCATCACACCAGGTTTGTTGTAATCAAGTGCGAAGCCAGTTCGAATATGTGGAAGTGTGAATGAGATTTGAGAGCTGCCATTTTAGTCTGTTCCTCATTCAAATCTATCATATGACTTCAGATGATGACTGCTAAGGTGTTTTTTTCATTTGTCATTTTATTTCTATGAAACACTTCAAACATCTCCTTTTGGTTTTTTTTTTTAGAATATACATGCGCTTGAAATTACATTTGCATAAATGCATCTTAAAATAAATCCAAGATCTACACTAAGATGCATGTGCACACAATAAAAACCATTATTTGAATAATGACAGCGAGGACCTGATTTTGTGCATTTAGCACACGAGTTATTTCATAAATCATAAATGCATTTAAATATATAATATTCTACAGTGTTTATTAAAAGTGTGTATGTTCACTTGTCACCGCCCGGGTAGCAGGGAACGTTCTCAAAACTTTGTGGCAAGGTTCTCTCAAAGTTATGAACAAATATTCTCGCAGCAACATTTATAGAACGTTTGTTCAACGGTATCTGGTCTTTAATGTTTTCAAATCGTTAGCATAAAAACTTTATTCGTACATCATTTGTTGGAATGTTTTTCCCTAAAACATTTTAATTGGACGTTCGTCTAACTTTTTTTTTTTTTTTAATATTCACTGCATGTTTCAGAACATTCAGAAGTAAGTAACGTTACCATAATATTTTGAAAATTATAAAATTAAAAGTTCAATTTTAACTTTCAACTTCAATGTTTTCATAAACAAAAACATTTTATTTGTTTTTTAATGTTGTTACTTTGTTTCAGAACGCTCAAAAGATTACATTTCGGTAATGTTTGCTAAATGATACAATGGAATGTTCCACTAACATTCGCACAACTGAGGGAAAACGTTTTAAAAACATTTAAAAAACCGGACATCAGCTATCATTAATAAATAACGTTCCTGGAACACGTAACGTTCTTAGAACATATTTTTTTGTGGCCGATTTGAAATTTGGACACCAACGTCAGTCCTCGGCTGCCTTCAGCCAGCTTTTGCCCTCAAAGCATAGAAATGACTTTAAACTGCACAAGCGCATCTCGAGTCTCGCGCGGTGCGGAAGTGGGCCGTGGGGCAGGGCTCGCGCTCCGCTGCATATAAACGCACGCGGACTTCCTCAAACTCACTTTGCATCGGAGCAGAGACGCACTCAGGTAACGTTTTCTTTCTCTTATCGCTCGCTGTCCGCCTAGGCTTTACCTGACGCGGTATGATGATGATGATGAAGATGAAGTGTTTCCCCGCTCCTCAGATCTAAAGCAGCAGTCATGAGCTGGGACAGCTACATCAGCAGCCTGACCAAGAGCGAGTGGGTGGATGATGCGGTCATCCTCGGGTGCACAGCGGGTCAGGAGTCCGTTTGGGCTTCAGCACCGGGCGGCTGGCTGAACCAAGTCACGGTGCGACATTTACAGTGGAGTAAACTTTGCTTCGCTTTGTTTTTCTAAAAATACGACTCATTTATTTGGGTTAAAAAAAAACTTTTTACTTACTTGTTCCTTCTTCCTCGTTCAAAACTCTCCGCGAATCGGGATGCGCTCGCATCTCCGCCGGTTATAACGGAGTTCGGTATGAAGAGGCAACATTTCTAAAAGTTTTACGAGCGCAAGCCGCTGTGGTTTCCATTATATTCGCGGTTTAGAGGAAATAATGGACGGTTTATCCTTCGCGGTGAATTTCCTCACAGCGGAGTTCAGTCTAGCGCTCCTTATTTGGTCACGCGCGCGTTCAAAGGCGGAAGCGAGCATCTCGACGGGAGCGCGCGCGCGCGCGGGACATGGGCGGAAACGGGGGCGCGTCGCGCGCTCTCGCTCTGACAGGTTTTCGAGCCCGGTCTCATGAAAATGCGTATAAATAGTACGCCAAATAAAAACCAAAACTCGTGGTATTGATACGCAAAAATGGACTTTGGCGTGCATATGATACGAAATTTGTTGGCGTGCATATGATACGCATCTACCCCACAACCCTAAACCTACCCATCGCGTATCATATGCACGCCAAAGTCCATTTTTGCGTATCAATACCACGAGTTTTGGTTTTTATTTGGCGTACTATTTATACGCACTTCCATGAGATCGGGTTGGGGTTTCATGTCAGATGATTGTGTGTTCGCTATTAAATATTTAGCGTAAGTGTGAGAGACTTTCGACTTTTAGTGAACTACCGCTAGTGTGTCTAATATAAAGTAAAATTTAGTTTTGACCGCGGAATATTTCAACACTGTGCTTCCTGTCTCAGGTTCCTCTCACTAACTTTCATTCTGACATGTGTGTGTGTGTATGTATGCATGTATGTAGCCTATGTGTTGAAGTGAAATGCCTCAAGATAAATGTGTGTGTGTGTGTGCAGTTGTGTTTCCCCCGTTCATGTCGTAACATGCAGCTCAGACTTTTAAAGAATTTAGAGATGCTGTCTCTTTCTAATTCATCTGACAGGAAGCGTTCTCAAAACGTTGCGCCAAGGTTCTCTCAAAGTTACGAACAAAATAAAATAAAACAATCAAAGTGATCTGCTCTTTAATAATGATGGTATATTATTTATACAGCGATGAAACATTATTTCTACGTGGTTCACAGAATGTGTCTTCCAGAAACATTTTAGTTGAATGTTAGTTTTTTAAATGTTACAACTTGTTTTAGAATGTTCGGAGGACATTTAAAAGTAACGTTCTCATAATGATGAAAATGATACAGTGGAATAATCGCTGGACGTTTTGAGCATTCATGTCTTCACAACGTGAACAGAAACTTCCTCTTAGTTGGCTGGCTATCTCATGAAAAGTGTTACATTTGTGATATACTTGCAGCTGTATCTGTGTTGTTGAAGTGATCTGGCGTGTAGCTACTGCTATTAACTAGTGAGGTGATTAAAACCGTGAAGTGATGCACTTTCCCTTATGCTTTTAAAATCTTGATGTTGAAATAAAAACTCACAATACACTCAAAAGCCAGGTGATTCTTCGAGCTGTGATTGTGATCTAGTTTCACTCTAAGACTCCTCTGGAATAGATTCGGAGGCTGATTTACGGTCTGTGTGATGAGCTGCAGATAGGCGTCGTCTTCAGAAACATGTCCAAACATGAGGAGAATCTGAGCGAATGCTTCTGCTTGTCTCAGCCTGTGTTTGCTGGACCATTACATCACTCAGCGTGTGTGTGTGACTCCGTCAGGCGTCCGAGGTGCAGGCTATGATCGCCAGTGACCGCAGTAGTCTGTTTGCCAATGGAGTGACTCTGGCCGGCAAGAAGTGCACGGTTCTGAGAGACGCTCTGAATGTAGAGGGCCAGAACACCATGGACATCAAGATGAAGACCTCAGAGAAAGAGCCCGACCCCTTCTCCTTCACCATCGGCAGATCACACAAAGGTGAAGATATAAAATATACACATACAAATAATTTGATTTATAATTTAGATTTTAAAAATGCAACATCTTTTTACTTCTTTTGATTCTGGGGTGATGTTTTTCACTCTTATTTCTCTCTCTTTCAGCGCTAATCATTGCTAAAGGTGTAAAAGATGCTCACGGAGGCAAAGTCAATCCCCCCGTCTTTGACATGACCACATACCTCAGGAAGATGAACATGTGAACAAGCCCCGCCCCCTGCCCTACTGACTCCGCCCACTTCACCTGTCGACCTGATCTCCATTCATAAAGCCCGAAGAACCGCTCCACGATCAACCAAACATGTGCTTGAGAAGCCTCTCATCTTCATCATCCTCATCTCGGTTTAAACATTCCAGGAGTCCGAGATCTCGGTTTCTTCTCCGGTCAGGCAGTGGAACGCAAACTCCTGTTAATATCAAACTCATTTATTGGTTTTATCACTAATTCTCCTTCACCATCGGCAGATCACACAAAGGTGAAGATATAAAATATCAAAATATGGGCCGCATATGAGCCATATCAAAATATTTAACAATCATCGCAGTAGGAATTTTAATCATGGAATTTCACGATTAGTGAACAACCTCCAGATGCATTGCGTGTTATGCGAATGAATTTTTTTATTTCTTTATATATTAAACATTATATATACAGTGTATACAAATCTAATGTGTAAATGAGTAATTATGTGTAATTATTTAAAAAGTATTTTCAAAATATCACATGCAAACGCATTACAATTACACACACGCATTTATATTTCAATTCTCGTGTATAATTTATATTTAAAAAATTTCATTTGATTTCTTTAGATGCTGGGCTGAAATTAGACCTGGGCATGTTTTTATATTTATAAGGCATACACAAGTATTATATGTAAATATCTTACAAATATTTAATTTATGCTTAATTTTAATTGATAATTGATCTATGATTTATATTTTAAAAATTAATATCATTTTATTTTCTTTAGATCATGTGGTGAAATTTTGATTTAGGCATGTTTTTTATTTATAAATTATTTACAAATTGCATATAAATATATTAAAATATTAAATTTACTTTTAATTTATAATTGATTTATAAGCTATATTCTAAAGTCATTTTATTTCTTTAGATTCTGAAGTTGTTTATTTTTATTGTTTATTTTATATATATTTAATTTTAATTTATTATTCGTATTTAATAATCTAATGTCATTTTAATACTTGGAATGAATCTGGATGAAATTTGACCTGGACATATTTATTTATATATATATATATATA